TAGGTTCTCAACTTGTAATGGTTCTTTATGATTAAATAAATAAACGACACCAACCTGATTGCAGAATTAAAAAAAAAAAATCAATTGTTAGCATAGAAAAATGTATGGGTCATTAGGATCACTGATAGTCACGTAACATGGTGTGATCCATCAGGCCCTGCATCAAGAAGCCTAAATAGTCTAATCGGTGATTTGCAGCAGGTATAAATATGGGTGGATTAGCTAGCTAAAATAAAAAGTTAATATTCATATTGTATAAACTTGTATCCATTGTATTTGCACAAGTATAATTAATAAACTTACCTTAATTGGATATTAGCCGCTATAGGAATCCTAAAAGCCCATAAAGGATTGTAGTAGAAGATTAGACCAGTAATAAAAGAGAAGGGAGTTTATTAACAAGTGCCTCTAGTTAGCAAGCGACACAAGCCCCTACATATCTATCATTATGTCAGTAATTAAATGGGAGACACGCGCACCGGGCGATGAGACATTTAGGCTGCATAGTATCATGGCACCATGAAAGCAACTGATAAACACACTTAGCTGCAAGTTGAGAAAAAAGCTGATGAAGGTACACTCTGAAATCTTTGCAAAATTAGCACACCGCACAATAATGATAATTTATAAGATGGTTTGGGCAGAAGGTCCAATAAAAAAACTCTTAATCAATGTGACTGGGAGTACCATCCTGAAAGTTGAACACACGTAAAAGATGTGATACACCTTTGATCGAGGTAGTAATATCCCGAATGATTAGGAAGAGCAAGAGACTGTACCCCAAGGAAATTTACCAACAGAATAGTAATGGTGATAACTAATACAGAACACTTACTCGCACAATATGATATCGTTAGGCATAGCCACTTGCTTATGATGTGTCAACAACGAATGATTATACCCTGGCATAAAGCCGTAGAACCATGGATAGCGTGAAATCTAAATATGACTATTATCAAAGCTAAGCTCAATAATATCACCGTGACCAGAAGAGTATGTGTCGTGGTTAATACAATTCATAATAAGCAAACAAAGGTAAATATGTGGCAAACAAACCAGTTTGTAATAAAGTCCTGGAGTACCTACTTGTCATGTGATTCGGAATGAAAAATCAGAGAAGACATCAACAGATCAGCCACACCAAATCCAGTGAATGCATGTGCCAACAATGCTAGTGTTAGACGAACCAAGGCAAATAAAGAATGAGTGAATCAACAAGTAAAAGTGTTGCAAGATCTTGATATCTTCATTATACGACACAGCAATTCAAGGAGGCCAATCAAGCTACCACAACTATCAGGATGCACAAGTTAGCATTCAAGGAAACAATAGATGATGCCACCTACTATAAAGAATTTGATATCAGAAGACTAGCCGAGACGGAATGCCAAGTTACTATCAGTAACAACAAAGAAAGCAAAAAGCACATTACGACCATAATACAGATCTAGCAGAACCATTCAACATCAGAAATCAAGTGTTAATATACCATACAGTACTAGAAGCCTCAAGAAGCAGCCAATGTGCCAAAAATGGGGTGGCCCATATTATGTACAGATTATACTTACCCAAGATACTTACAAGCTGTAAACTATTGGTGGACAAGTTCTGGCAAGTCCCATCAACTGAAAATCTGGAAGCTATATTTTGAACCAATGGTATGAAATGATTATATATACAGGAGCGCATAAAATAAGCGTGGGGGAAATATTAGCAGGGAAAAATGTATGGGTCGCTGGAATTAATGTTTGTTACGTGACATGGCACGATTCATCAGGCCCTGCATCCAGAAGCCTAAATAATCTAATCGGAGATTTGCAGGATGTGACGGTATATCAGCAGATGTGTCGCAGCGGATATAAATATAGATAGATTAGCTAGATAAAATAAAAAAAAATGAATATTAGTATTGTATAAACTTGTACCCATTGTATTTTCACAAGTATAATTAACAAACTTATCTTAATTGGATATTAGCTACTGTAGGAATTCTAGAAGCCCATAAAGAATTGTAGTAGAGGATTAGACTGGTAATAAAAGAGAAAGGAGTTTATTAACAAGTGCCTCTGGTTAGCAAGTGACACAAGCCCCTATATACCTATAATTACATGACGACCTAGTCTGGATTAGTGACAGACTCGCTGTGTACTGATAACAATACACATATTACCTTTTTAGCAAAGTTGAAATCCATCAAATTTATAGGACCCGATTCACTACTCTTTGTCTAATTAATTGTTCTACTCTGATTTCATTACTCTAATACAAGATTAAATTTGTAGAACTCATAAATTAGTAGGTGAGAATTGTTACACTTTTTTTTCACCCAAGATTTTCACTACTCCTTGTCTGATTTTCATTAGCATTGTCTCTTGAAATATTAACGTTCTAAAATAGTTTTGTATTACAGATCTGTTATTGTATCTTCGACATCTATTGTATCTATTGCATCTTTACCATTTATAAAACATTATTTTTTATTTTATCATTACTTTCTATATTATCTTTGCCAAAGTATTTATCTATATAAATGCTAACACAGTTGAATATTCTGTATTTATATCTTAGTTTATATTTTTACTATAGCATATATTTATCTTGTATGAAAATATTATAACTAAAACATGTATAGAAAGGTCACAATTTTGCTTAAGAATTGGCAAGCTTGAACATATATTTTATTGAATAAATAACTTGATCTTTACAAAACAAATCACTATTGCCTCTTTCATTTGACCTTATATATCTCAGAATTGTACTAATTTGTATGCCTCTAGGAACTTTAGCATATCACATTGGTCCTGTTTATCTAAAGTACCTCCTTGTTACTAGTTCTTCCTTTCTCTTGAGGTAGAAATTATATATAAAACTATATAAAATTAATAAAATTAATAAAACTGATAAACTTAATAAATTCAATAAATATTACAGATGTCAATATAATTGAATATATTAGTTACATATTATTTATCTTTGTATTTTATTGGCAACAAAATGATAAACATAAAAAAAAATAGTTAATAGCTAAATAGAAAACAAATAATAAAAACAAAAATTAATAAATTTAATAAATTTGATAAATTTTACAAATGTCAATATAGCTATATATATCAGTTATATATTATTTACCTCTGTATTTTGTTATTAGTAAAGTAGCAAACAGCAAAAAAAATCAATAACTAGATATAAAAGTAAATATATAAAATTCATAAAATCAATAAAATATAACCTGTGGGTCTATAGTATAGTGGTTAACACTTTACAGGTCAAATCACAAAATACCAGTTCAACTCCATGTAAGGGTGATTGAATAGAATTAATATGGTATCTGGCACCATAACCTGTTAAAAGCACTGTTTCTCATAAGAAGCTGTTTCACACACTCATCCAGTGGGCATTGAGATTGTAATTTCCAAAAAAAAGTGTTGTGATATGATGATTATCCAGTTGATGTTACAATGATCACCAGAAGTTACAAGGTGTATGAGATGTCTGATTTTAACAAGTAGGTTTGGTGATTCTTCCTCTAATATCTGGTGTCTTTCACACAGATTCCTGCTCTAGTCTTATTCCAATTCAGTAATAAACTGGTCTGGCAGTACTTATCCCAAGAAGGCTTCTGGATATAAGTCCTGTTTCCTGCAATGTGTAAGTCAATGTTTAACAGTAAGCATCAGTTATAAGTACCTTGAACGTTCTTGGGTATTATTGGACAGATAAGAAATTAAATGGTTAGCCCAACTGCAGGTGGTGGTAAAAGGATTTATCTCTGATGGAGCAAGCAGTAATTATGTAGCTTTATTCACCATAGATATTATCTTTAGTGCTCCCCTTTCAACTTCTCCTTAATTCCTTTCCAGTTAAAAATAAAGTTGTTTAATTATTAGTAAAAATGCATGCTACTGGTTCAACAGAGGATTACCTTTGTCCAATAAATTAGTCTCTATATCTAATATAGCTAGCAATAGGCTATAGCAAATGTCATTATTTGGAGCAATCCTGATAAGTGTTAATATTCTAATGAGGTATTTTTTAATAAATGATTTTATGCTGAATAATTAATTTATTATTTTTTTTTTAATGTTAAGTGAGGCATTTTTCACGATCTTTATTAATATAGTAAAATGAATTGTTACATGATTAATATTAAGATGTAAGATACATTGCTATACATGT